AGCCCAATGCTCCCACCTCACTGGGGACCACCTAAGACCCTCTCAGGGTGGCCTACAAGAGCAATTTGGAGGTGTGTGAGAGAGACAATACAGTGTTGGGGCTCTGGGAAGCTTTGTAACTGTGTCAGGATTTAGACTCACTCTAGATAGCTTGAACCAAAGATAATTTTCAAGACCTAGAAAAGTGTGGTCAAGGCCCTAGGGCTCTAAGGGGATGGCAGGGGGCTAGTTAGACCAGCAAAACAGGCACCTCTGCCTGGAGAGGGAGGGAGGGGTTGTTCTCCTAGACAGTGAGGAGCTACTGGCAGAGGGTAGGACTGCTAGCAGGGTTCCTCTGTCCCCTAGCTTAGGAGCTGTGTTTGCTCCTCAGTGCACAGAAGTGTCCTTCAACTAGAAAGCTAGAGTTCCAGTGCACAGGCCCGTGTTCTTCAGAGAAAACCTGCGTGGGCAAAGGCCTGTCTAGAGAGCAGAAGACCCTGTTCAAAGATCAGCAAGGGTCTGGGAGATGGCTCAGTAGGTAAGAGTGATTGCTGTCCAAACACAGGGACCAGAGTTCAAATCCACAGCACCCTCATGAAAACTCAGGTGTGGCTGTGTGTGCCTGCAGCTCTGGTGTATGCATGGGGAATAGAACAGCAGAGGCAGACACCTGGGGCCTCACCTAGCTGAAACACCTTCCAGTTCAGCGACAGACTAAAGGACCAAGGTAAAGGGTAGAGGAAGGTGCTCAGAATCCTCCTCTGGCCTCCATGTATGTGTGGAGGCCTCAGAAACATGCACATCCAAAAGAAAAATAAAAACTAATTAAAAAGATCAGCAAGGGGTCAGGGCCTGGAGACCTGCCATCCCAGCACTTGGAAAGGGGGTGGATCTAAGAGGATTGCAAGTTCGAGATGAGCCTGAGTTACATAGGCAAGGCTACCTCAAACACAACACAAATCAAACCCTGTGTGTGTGCGCGCACGTGTGTGTGTGGGGTGTCACAGCCCAGTCAACCTTCCCTCTAAGGCTCAGTATCCCCAGCTGCCAAAGTAGCTGACTGACTGGGGTCCACAGGTTTTAGGACCCTGTTGGATGGGCTTTGGCTCACAGTGGGCACAGCTGCCCCTGTCTGGGGACAAGGAACAATTCCTTAGTGGATCCAGCCTGTTGCTGTGGTATGCTGGGTGTGCATGACACCGGACGTCCAGAGGAGCCTGGGTGCTGGCTTAAAAATGGGAGAGTGGAGGCTATTTCTGGAAGCCTGAAATGGGGAGACACGTGGGTGTGGGAGGTGTTGGGCACTCAGGGAAGAAACCTGAGCTAAGGCTGGAAGCTGCACCAGCGCTGCGGTGGGACCAGAATGTCTCTCCTCCCAGGCACCTGTCCTCAGGCTCCTCTGACCTTTGGCCCCACCCCATATACACTCCTGGAGAGGCAGCAGAGGGGCCACATGGTCCATTGTCTACCCTCACCCCAACACCAGCCTTCCCAGTAGGGGGTACTCATCACAAACCAGGGAGCCTCATCTTTCCTAGCACTGACTCAAGTCTCGTGCCCGTTAGACTTAGACATGGCTATTAGTGCCATCCGGCCGACTAGAACTTTGGGCTTAGGGTAGTGAAGTGACCTGCCAAAGGACACACAGCTTCAAAGTTATGGAGCCATGGTCAGCATCTGGGTGCTTGTAACCATGACAGGCCAGGTAATGAGTAAGACTAAGAGCGACATTAGCCAGAAGTGGGAGGAAACGCAGCTGCATTAAGGGTGGAGGGTAGGAATCTAGGAAAGGCAAGAGACATAAGCTGGGTCTTAAAGATGCACAATTCAGATGGGATGAAATGGACGGGGAAGGGATTTCTCAGGGAGAGAACAGCTTGGGAAAAACCTCATACATTTGCGGTAGAATAAGTAGCCGACCTGGGGTCAGTTATTTTATGGGATATGAGGGCTGAGGCGGCTGGACCCTGACTGTCCTGATGCCTGAAACATCCCAGGCTTTATAACGTCTAATGGACAACTGCTCCCCTTTATGGTGAGGACATAAAGCCTGTGAGCCAGGGTTCCGGAGGCAGAACTGGAGGATGCCCAGGCAGAAAGCCCTGCTTCTCTCAATCCTACACACAGGGTCCTGCAGAGCTCTGGGTGGACAGGAAGCCTGCCATTCCTTCTGCACTGGAGAATGGCCTCAGTGTGCACCACAACAAAAAGGCTTTTCTGCCAAGTGGAGGAGAGGAAGTGGCCAGGCTTGCTCAGTCCAACCCAAGCCTGAAAGGAAGCTCTGTCCTAGGCCCTGGAATCTTGGATGCATAGAATGAAGGCTGGGGGGGTGGGGGGGTGTCCTGTCCCTGTCTCATTCCTCATCAGCATCAGGTGGGAGAGGTGGAGCTGGGGTTTGCCAAATTGGTCTGTTTACGTCTGATCCGAACATGGTGACTTCCTAGCTGTGTGGCCTTGGCCAAGTCACCTCCCCTCCAAGACCTCTTTCTCCTGCATAAGGTGTGAGAAGGAACATGCTGGTTGGCCAGAATCATAATCACACAAACACATGGCCAGTGCCCGGCTCCTGCCACCCTTCCTTCTTCATGGAGCCCAAGTCAGGGCATGGGGGAGCCCTGGGCACCTGAGGCTGCAGCTCCAAGTGTCATAGACAAGTGAAGATTGAAAACACTCAGCTTCAGTCAGGCGTTGGTGGTGCAGGCGGATCTCTGTGAGTTGGAGGCCAGTCTGGTCTACAGAGGGAGTTATAGGACAAGCTTCAAAGTTACAGAAAAAACCTGGCTGGAGATTATAGTGACTCATGTATCTTCTTGAATGTCTTCTTTAAAAACAAAAATACTTAAGAATTAGTAAAATGTCAAGGAAAAGGGATGTTGAGAAAATGGGGGAAAGCCTCTGAATTCTTGGGCTGTAGCAGAGTATACATGGTGGTTCATCAAGCAGGCTTGAGGAGCCAAGGCCTGTGTCAAGTCTTTTCTCTGGCCTTGGTTCTACAGAAAAGCAAAGAAGGCTACAAGAGCAGGCCTTGCTGGTCTCTGGGCCCCACACTGACTTCTGTCTTCTGCTCACAAGCAGAGGCAGCCTAGGCTGGGGTCAGAAAGCCAAAATGGCTCCTCCCTGGCCCCTCCCACTCCTGCTGTGACTCCTGCAGAGCTCAGTACTGCTTCCTGGATGAGCCAGAAGCTCTGGGTTTTGAGGGCCAGCCCTCCAATTCTCCTCAGCCATTCCTATACAAAGAGAGGAAGGGGTGAGGCGGGGGTGGAGGTCCGATAGGGAATGCTGTTGTGGCAGCCCAGCCTGCTGGGTGATAGAAGAGAGGCTCTGACTTGGTCTAGGATTGAACATGGACACAGGATTTCACATGGACACCAGTTCACCAGGCACACCCAGGTCCACCGCATCCCAGTTCCTGCAATCTTGGGGCCTGTGGTGGGGTTTTCTGCCGCAGCAATGACAAGACAGCAGGTCTTAGTATGCTTCATTCCCTGAATATTGAGGTTTTTTGAGGCAGAGTGGCCCCATTACCCAACTCTCTCCAGGTTCTCTTGTCCAAGTCACCTCCCAGGCTGCACAAAACCCAGTGGAGGTGGGTGATTGGGTGGGCTTGTCTGACTCTTCCTACCCCTCCTGGATGTGGAGTATATGGGAAACTGGGCTGCCCTTTCTCATCAGCACCAAAACTCTGCAGCCCCATGCTCTTCTGATCGCTGACCCTCCTGGACTCCATCCCAAAGATCCTACCACACTGGAAGCAGGGGCCTCCTCAGCATCCCAGCTTGGCCCCGACCCTGCCAAGCAGGTCTTCCTTGCAGTATGCTACAGTCTAGGCTTACAAACGCAGCCACACTCGCCGGCTGTACATTTAATCAGTGCAGATTATTTACAGAACTAAAGAATGGGGGTGGATGCCGCCCCACCCCTTGCTGGCTCTCAGGTTCTGCAGAGGTGATGTCTAGACAGTGTTGCTGGACAACCCCCACCCCCAGTGCCAAGCTATGAGAATCCACCAACCTGAGAGAGGTGGTGGCCCAGAGGATCTTGGGTGGTGGCAGCCCTTCACTGCTCAAGGCTTTAGGGAGGCAGAGGGGACCAGAGCCAGCTGTACAGTACCATTTCCCACAGAAGCCTCCTGCTGACTCCAGAACGGAAAGAGGAAGGGAGGCCCCCTTTCACCCCTAGGACAGACTTCCCAGGCTATAGTGGATTCCTTTGGGGGTTCTACAGTCTGTGCGGGGTGAGCTGCTGGCCTGTGCCTAGTAGTGTCATGTGGGGAGAGAGATCTGGAAGGGAGGAGGCCCACAAGCCTGGTCTATGACATCCTGTGCACCCACACCATTAGACACTGTTTAGGGACCCTAGTCAGTGTGCCTGCCAGCCCCATCTCTCCAACGGCTGGGACAGGGACAGCAGAAGCCAAAGGGTGAGGGAGTACCCAGCATCCTGAGACCTGTGGGGGTGATGAAAGATAATGTGGGCAGCCTAGGGAAGGAGAGGCTAGTCACTAGCATTGGGAGGGGAGCTTGGTAGGCTCCCTTTGGTCCTTGGTGAGATAGGTCCAGGGCCCATTCCTCACAGAACAGAGCTGCAGGCCCAGGGGCGTGTGGGAGCTGCTGATGGCCAGGATGGTGGAGGGCTTTCATTTCCTGGCTCTCAGAAGTAGCCTAAGGGAGCCAAGCAGCAAGGTAATAAGGATGGCCCCTGGGCCATATGCTCTTCCTAAGGCAGATTCAGGAGGGTGGAGCCCCAGCTGGGCTCCTTCAAGGCAAACACAGCTCTTGTCATGGGAGGGGAGGTTCAGGCTGAGAAGAGCCAGAGCTGAAGAAGCTTCCCAACCCTCTGCCACCTTCCAGAGGTAAGCCTCTGTCCCTTAGTCCCTGTCTGGAGTGGTACACTCAGAGAACTCCAAGCATCACCTCGCCCCAGTCAGGAAAGCAGAAACAAATGCTGAGAGAAGGTGCCAAAGGAAAAAGAAAAGAAAGGAAAAAGAAAAAAAAAAAAAAAAAAAAAAAAAAAAAAAAAAAGACACCTGGGCATAAATAAAAGAGGGCAAGGGCAGGACTGACTAGGGGTGTGTGTGGCTAGGAGGGGACCCCACTGGGCTGAGAAAGCATCTGGGAGCCACACACCTGCCCCTGCGGACCTGAGCACCGGGTGCTGTGGGTGGTGTGTGATCACACCCACTCCTGCAGTGAGCGCTTGCAGTAGAGCAGCATGCGGGGTGCGCCTTTGCGCTGCATCTGCACCAGGGCAAAGGCCAGGCCCAGTATGCAGAGCAGCAACAGCAAGGGGACCAGCACCATCACCACATTCACTGTCCGAACCACCTCCTCCATCTGCACTACCACTCGGCTGCCTTTGTCCTTGTCACCGACATCCTCTTCCTTGTCGTCACCATCTGCCTCAGGCTCCGCACCCCCGTTGGGGTTGAAGGGTGGACGAGCCACGTCGGGCCATCGTGGTCGGGGCTCCACATGCTCCTGGCAGCCCATGAAGTCCCGTAGGATGGATTTAGGGTGGCCGGGTTCCATCCTCAGGCGCTCATTGTTGAATTTCCAGTATTTGGTGCCCTTGTAGAAGTAGGTGTAGGCTATAGGAACAGACAGGCAGGAAGGTATGTAACTTGGTGGTAGAGCACTTGTGGAACATGTTAAGTGGCTTCCCAGCACCAAAACCAAACCAGAAAACAAACAAAACAAAAATAACCTTTCTCCATTTCCTTGCCTAAGTCTTCTCAAATCTGCCACCCTGCTGTGGCTTGGGGGGGATTTGGGTCCCCAGATTCCTGGCCAGCCTGACAGGGCACAGAAGGGGCCCACAGTCTACCAGGGTCTGGGTATCAAGGAACCCTGCTGTTCATCCCAGGATTGGCTTTATTCCCAACCATAGGAGCTGGCTTGACTCTGGCCTTGGGCCTTCATAGACCTGGGGTGAAACCCAGTGCTGCTCTAGACTAGGTCCTGGCCTTGGGGACCTTGTATGCATCCCACCGACAGCAAGAAGGGCCAGGTTTGAAGCAAGGGGCGTGTCTGAGCACAGTGAGCTCAGAGAGGCTGCAGCGATGCCCGCACACAGAATCAGGTGATCAGGCTGAGAGCACTGGCAAAGCCGGCAAGTCTGCCCTAAATATGAGTGTCCCAGATAAAGAATCAGACACACAGGAACCCTGCTGGAGAACTAACAGAGTCACAACTCCTGTCACTCAGTTACAATGACAGATAGATATTCACCTTGTCTGCACCTGTGGCATAGACCACACCCATTGGGGGGGGGCACAGGGCTGGACGTGACCTGGGGGAACTAAGGCTGAGGAGGGGGCTCGGTGAGCTCTCTTGCTTGCAGCACGGGGAGAGGGGTATATCCGGAGGCATCCTTGGGATCAGGAACCTGCTGGTGTTGATCTGTCTATGTTGAAAGTTACTTCTGCCTGAATAAACATCTATGCGGCCTATTTGTTTCTCCTGATCCTTATTAAACATTAATAGATAGGTACTAGGCTTCTTTTGCCGGTCTGCGAGAACTACCTGGAGAGGACTCTGCTCCAACACTGAACCAGGCCCACTGCCTTGAGGTTCTGAGTTCCTGTGCTCTAGCTCTGGACACAGATAGGCATGGGAGGCACCTAGATGTTGGTCTCTTGAGCTATGGGGCTGGAGCTCCATCAAAAGAGGCAGTAATGATATAGGGAAGGCAGGATGTCATGCTGGAGAGGGCCCCAGGCTGCAACACGGCACAGCTGGGTCCTCCTTTCATGCCATCACAATGTCATGGGACCTTGAGGAAGTGCTGGGTCCTCTGGGAGAGGCTGGTACCTGCATCGTTGCTGAGGAAGGCCCCTTTGGGAGAGGCAGGGATCCCCTGCCAAACACTGATGGGCTTGGGGTAGCCAGGGTCTCCATGTTGTGTCTCCTCATTGAAGCGCCAGTATCTGTAACCAGAAGTTTCAGGCTATGAACCTGGAGCCTTTCCCCCATTGGCTCTATATGGGCAGATCTGAGGATGAGGGGGCCTGGCTAGAGCCTCTTCCTTTAGGGGACAGGGGCATAGCAAAATGTTTACCTATCTGCTTGAAAGAAGAAGGTGTGACCTGTGGGCTCCCACCAGATGGCTGTGTCGATGCGGTCATAGGGGATGTCTGTACCATAGCTGGTCAGCGGCTGTGGGTAGCCAGGTTCCAGATTGGCTTCTCGGAAAAGCCAGTAACGGTTACCTGCATGGGGAGCAGTGGGTTGTGTGAGGACTGGCCTAGGTTGGGGATAGAGATGGCAGAGGAAATGCTTTGCTGGGTCCATAATCCATTCTTACCATCACTTCCCATCCCAACACATGTATACACAGAACCACATACACTCAGCATGATTCACACATGTATGCTCATGGAAACCTGGGAGATACTCAATCTCTGTGTACAAATCAGCTGCTCCCTCCCAGTCCACCTATATATATGGCCCTTCACTCCACAGGACACATCTTCTCAGCCTAAGAGCTATGTCTCTGGGATACTCAAGTGGCCCCTATGGTGCCAGGTCTGGAACTCCCTACTTGTCCTATATTCAGAGGGTTCCTGCCTATGGGGCCAGAGTTACAGCTGATTTGTTAAGGGGTACTGTCCCCCCAGGGCCTTTTCTCTGCAGACAGATGGCAGAGATCCTAGCCCAGTGGGCTTGGAGACCTGTTCTGTTCTTTCTTTTGGTTTTTCAACACAGGGTTTCTTTGTGTAACAGTCCTGTCTGTCCTGGAACTTTCTCTGTAGGCCAGGCTAGACTTGAACTCACAGAGATTTGTCTGCTTCTGTTTTCTAAGTGCTGGGATTAAAGTCTTGCACCACCACCACCCAGCAATAACTTATTTATTTTTATTTTATGTGCATTGGTGTTTTGCAGGATCTCCTGGAACTAGGGTTTTAGGCATTCATGGCCTGCTGGGATGCTGGGAATAGAACATGGGTCCTCTGGAAGAGCAGCTAATGCTCTTAACCTCTGAGCCATCTCTCCAGTTCCATGGGAATCTGCTTTTTTTTTTTTTTTTTTTTTTTTTTTTTTTTTTTAAAGAGAGATTTAATTATTATGTATACACTGTTCTATCTGCATGCATGCCTGCAGGCCAGGAGAAGGCAACAGATCTCATTATAGATGGGTGTAAGCCACCATGTGATTGCTGGGAATTGAACTCAGGACCTCTGGAAGAGCAGCCAGTGCTCTTAACCGCTGAGCCATCTCTCCAGCCATCTCCCACGGTGTTGTGCTCTTAAAGAGGACAACCTGCTCTTATGGGGACTCATTCTTGGGAGAACAAGAGGCAGTGGAGACAGTGAAGTGGTGCTCCTAGACTGCAGAAGATGGAAGAGATACATCGTTAATGCAGACATCCTTATGCTGGGATTAGCCTGACTAATCCCACAGCCTCTGTCTACCTCTCCACTTACACCTTACTGCCTGCCGTGCTGAGCAAACCCACAATGGGCACTGGAGATGCAGGGCTCTTTTCTAGCTAGCAATTGGGCAGGAAGGCTCCCTCATGTCCCTCACATCCTGGCTTACCTTTAAAAAAGACAAAATGTCCATCCTGGCGCTCATAGGCAGCACTGATGTTTCCTGGTAGACCACGCCAGAAGTGGCCAATTGGCATAGGGTAGTTGTCCAGAACCCGGTTGTGCCGGACTCTCCAGAACCAACGGCCCTGTGGAAGGGGGTAGGTATTGATGGGCAGCACATGCAAAGTGCTTTGGCTAAGAGTGGGAGCTGTGTTTACACTGCTCTTCCTGGGTCAGGGATGACCAATCAGAGAGGCCATCAGGTCCTGAGGAGCCAGGCAGTACCTGGAGGGCCAAGGCAGAAGGAAGGAAGAACTCTGGGCTGAGGAGAGGCACCTGATTACTATGTAACTAACCCTTGACAAGTCCCTTGTTTTCTTGGGTTGGCTTCTTCCTGGTCTAGGGTTAGGTAGGTACTCAGGAGATGTTAGCAAGGGAGGAGCCAGGCATAGCTTAGAGAGGCGATGTGAGGGCGGGGCAGGACCAGGCTCTGGGTTGGCTGGAGGAGGCACCGGGAGCATAGGGCCAGACCTTGAACACAAACATCTCTCCACGAAGCACAGCCACTGTGTCGAAGTTGCCATCGCAGATGTTGGGGCCATACTGGTCAGGCCTCTCTGTGGCTCGGGGCTGGGGTGGGGGCCCTGGCTTGGGGGGCCGCTCTGGCTTCCCACCTGGATGTGGTGGCTGGGGAGGCCGAGGGGGCTGGTGGTCTGGCCGTCCTGGCCGTCGGGGCCTCACAGTGGGGAGAGGCCGGGTGGGCTGTGGCTTACCATCGGGGGAGCCTATAGAGAGGTGAGGATCAAGAAGTGAGAGCAGACTCAGAACCCAGCCTGGATGCCAGGTTCCTCTATATACAATGCGAAAGTCCTGACTGCACCCCCTCCAGGTATAAGGTCCTGTCTACCCACAACAGTCCTGGAGGTTCTGGGCTATCCCATCACTATCCCTGGTGCATGGGCAGGGCGGCCTCCTCCACGTGATCCTTTTCTTAACCTCTCTGCCGGGTGGCAGGCTAGCTACCTCTGCTTTCCTTGGGGACATCCCCCCTTACAGTGCTGGTTTACTCAGTGAGGTCCCAGGAAGTGAGGCACCAGCAGAGTCACGAGTATAGCTCTGGCCCAGGCTATATCAACTTGAACTCTACCTGATACACAGCTCATTACTGAGTTGCTGGGGATGGAGGATGGGATATCTGTCAGGCGCCACTAGAGGAGGGTTCAGTGTGGACATGGAGGCACAGGTCCTAACCAAAAGAGCTGGCCTTGGGGAGATCTGGTCACTGTAGAATTACTGGGCTGGGTAGGTGGCTTTCTCAAATCCCCTGGGAAGTCTGGAGAGTGTTGGGGACAGACTCAGACGATGGGTCCTGGGTACCCTGGGACACCCTCAGTCTAGTGGGAATATTGCCAAGAATAGGAGGGAAACAGTCTGGATCCACAGTGTGGGCTCTGGCTAAGTGACTGAGCCTCAGTTTTCTTGTCTTTAGAATGGGGACAGAGTATAGGACCAATTGGTCTCAGCCTACTCACCATACAGCTGCTGGATGCCCCGAAGGTCGTCTTCAGGCAGTTGGAAGTTGTCAGTGTCCATCCACTGGTAGAATGGTGCCATGATGGCACTGGGATTGCTTGAGTGCTCCAGCCCTAGTGCATGGCCCAGCTCATGCACTGCCACCAGAAAGAGGCTGATTCCTGTAGTGGGGGCATGCATGGTCACTCTGGTTCATCCTAGGCCCACTGGGTTGCCATAGACCCTATACTTGCTTCTCTTTTGAATGGGGCTGAGCTGGTCTGACTTCTGGCCTCTAAATTTACCATCTGAGAAGTGGGCCCAACATATCCTTCTCTTCCTGCCTTCCTTTGGTGGGACAACAGGTTGAGACTAAGTACAGGGCTCAGAGATCTGAGTAGGGGACATTCTTCCTGACAGAGCCTGAAGCTACTGGGCTGGAGGGGCAGCCATAGCTTGGGTACTGCCTGGTCTGTTCCCACCCTGGCCAGCTGTCCTTACCATGCAGGTCAGTGCTGGAGAAGGTCCAGGGCTCATCTGCGTCGAAATGGGTATCCCCACCCAGACCAGGGCCAGGGAAATAAGCGTGGGCCAGAAAGCCACCCACACCATCAAATGGTGAGCTGTCGCCATGGAAGCCAGAGGCAAAGAGTACCATGATGTCAGCCTCCTCTCGCCTTCGCAGCCGAATATCATCATAGGATACTTCCTGGAAGACCAGGGGTGTGACCTGCTCCCACACATGGAAAGCTCTGCGTACTGCCTCCATTGAGTTGTACCAGCCCAATTTCTCTGTGTAGTTCTGGATGCTGCAGGTGCACAGGGAGATAAGAACGGATAGGGCCCTGTGGAATACTGTCCATTGCTGCCACCTTCCTAAGAACATATAAAGCTGCCACACTACCCACTTTTAGAACTTGTAATTTAGAACCCAGTAATTCATTAAAATATAACCCTACATTTTCATGGTAGAAGACAAGCAGAGATTTAAATTAAGAAATCTCTGTGGTGTGTGTGTGTATGATGTGGTGGTGGTGATGCATGCCTTTAATCCCAGCATGTGGGAGACAGGAGCAAGTGGATCTCTGAGTTCAAGGCCAGCCTTAGTCTACAGAGTGAGTTTCCAGGACAGTCAGGGGTAACATAGTGAAATCCTGTCTCAAAAAGTCAAAACAAAAAACAAACAAACAAACAACAACAACAACAAAAAACAAAAAACAGAAAGAAATAAAGGAAAAAAGAAAAGTAGGACCTGGGCATGATAGTGCATGTCTGCAATCCCACCTCTTGGGAAGTGGAGATAGGAGGATTGAGAGTTTAAGGTTAGCTTCAGTTACACAGTAAGCTTAAGGGCATCTTGGATATAACCTTGTCTTAATAAATAAAAAACCCCAAACTCCAAATCCCAAACCAAAAGGTAGCAAAAATAGTAAGTAAATGAAAATACAGGTGCTTTGTGGCCATGGGATGGGGGTAGATGAGGTCTAGGAAACAGGCCAAGCCACTCTGCCAGTCTGAATGTTGACCCTTTAGCTGTGGGCCCCTGGACATTTGACTAGACAGCTTCAGTTTCTTCATTTGAAAGACAGCAAAAGGGGAGGGCGTAATACTTCCCTTGTGGGGTCTTTGAGAGGATTAAGTCAAATGCTGCATGAAGGCTATACAGCCTAGGGCAGCGGTTCTCAACCTTCCTAACGCTGTGACCCTTTAATACAGTTCCTCACGTGGTGACCTCCGACCATAACATGATTTCACTGCTACTTCTTAACAGTATCAACTTTACTACTGTTATGAATCATAATGTAAATATATGATAAGTAGGATATCTGATATGCAACTCCTGTGAAAGGGTCATTCAGTCTCCAAAAGGATCACAGCCCACACGTTGAGAACCACTGGCCCAGAGCCTGTCCATGGCGAAGCACGAAGCTCACATCCTCCCTGTGGATTAGACCCAGTTGCTGGTGTAGATGGATGTCCATCAGTTGTAAAGGAATTTGCCTGGGTGGACCAAATTCACTCTAGGCTTCGAGGCCTGAGTGAAAGCAGAACATCTGACCCCCACATCTACTGACCATACTGACTCCAGAGTCCATCAGGCCACATTAGACCAGGCTAGCCTGCTGCTAGCTGGGGCCAGGAAAGGACCCAGCAGGAGATGCTGGAAAGAGATCTGGCCTTCCCTGGAGGGAGGCTTCCTAGGCTGTGAGCTGGGACCATCAGCACAGCTAGCCAGACCCCTTCTGGGACAGGAATTCTGAGTCTCTTCCCCCCGCAGAGGGTCAGGGCAGCTCCCTTCCCAGCTGGACCCATACCTGAAGGTTAGGTGGTGACTGTTCCACGTCTTTCCCGTCAGAGTGTAACGCTTCCTCCGACGCAGGTTGGCTTTCACACGTACCCCAAACTGATCAGGCACCCCACAGCGGGGCCGCTTCATCCACCTGGACCAAAGATACAGAGGGGTCAGCTATGGGTCATCTCTTCCACCTCCTTCCAACTCCCTCTTTTTCCCAGTTTTCCCTCACAGGGATGTATTGGGGTGTGGAGACTCTCTGTTTGGCTTCCAGAATAGTGGCTAAATAGATTTCAGTTTAAGACTGAGCAGTGACTCAAAAGGTGTGCTCCCTCTCTGAGTGTAACCCAAGCATGGGATGGCTGCTCTTGAGGCCTCTTGTCCCAGGTATGTCAAGCCCCATGCTTCTCAATGTATCTGTAGGTCCTATCACTTCTAGTAGAGGAAGGCCTAGCTAGGTGGTCCTATCCAGGGTTTCTGTACTGCACCTTCCCATTCCCATGCCTGAAGCAGACATCATTAATTGAACATTATGCCCTTCCTGCCAGAGTTGGATTACATCTACTTCATCTCTCTTTTTTAGGCATGTGTATGTATGCGTGCCTGAATGAAATTGTGTGCACTGTGTGCATCCAGATGCTTATTGAGGCCCTCTCAGATCCCATCTGATGTGGGTGCTAAGGGCCAAACCTGGGTCATCTGGATGAGCAGTCAGTGATCTTAACTTTCCAGCCCCTGTCTTATCTTTCTTAACATCAGGCTTCAGGCAGCCATTCTAAATAATAAGGATTATCATGAAGACCAAATCCTTTGCCACTGCTTTTCCAGGCTACTCTCTCCTTGAAACTCCATACACCAAAGACTCCTCAGAGCGGGCTGGAGGGCAGGAGGCCCATGGGGTCTGGGAGGGGTCACATGGAGGGACTCACGCCTTTGTCTCTTCGTCAAGCACACCCGTGACAGGGATCCCATAGAAATTCTGCATCTCCGCGAGGGCGGAAGCCAGGATCTGGGCAGAGCGCATGGTGGACATGTGGCGGCTAGGCTGGGGTAGGTAGCCATAGAGCCGCAGCCAGTTCTGCAAAGAAGCCAAACAAGGTCTCCTCAGTCACTGCTCAGAACCCTCCAAGGCCTCTCAACTCAAAGGAAAATGCAGTTCTTCCAGGGCCTATAAACCCCTCACCACCAAGCCCCAGCTCTCAGGCCTCACTCCTACAACCCACTTGCCTTGGGGTCATTGCACTTGTTCTTGCTGCTTAATTAATGTACTGTGCCTGCTGTCTGGCACATTCTTCCCTGGCTCCTCCAGGGTGGGACCCTTCTGCTCCAGGTAGACTGCTGGGGACCCTCAATGTTGCAGAGTATTTTTTTTAACTATGCAAAGATGTGTTGTTGCATTTGTTTAACAATATAAAGATGCATTACATTTGTTAATGTTGTGGAATATTTGTTTAATTATGTAAAGATGTGTTGCATTTGTTTAATTATGTAAAGATGTGTTGCTGTTTTACCTTGACTGCCTAAGGCACCTGACTGGTATAATAAAAAGGTGATCAGCCAATAGCGAAGGAAGAGGTATAGGCAGTGTACATAGGTGGAGAAATTTAGGCTCAGGGAAGGAAGAAAAAGAGATGCCAGTCAGACAGACACAGAGGAATCAGGAAAGCAGGATATACAGAATGAAAGAAAGGTAAAAAGCCCTGAGGCAAAATGTAGAGGAGTAGAAACAGGTTAATTTAAGCTAAAAGAGTTAGTGGGTCAAGTCTAAGCCAAGACGAAGCATTCATAATTAGTAATAAGTCTCTGTGTCTTTATTTGAAAGCTGGTTCTTGGCCCAAAGAAAATGTCAACTACACTCAAGTATTCAGAATCTTTCTCTTTGTTAAGATTTTTATTCTTACCACCCACCCTACCCCCGCTCTGTGTGTGTGTGTGTGTGTGTGTGTGTGTGTGTGTGTGTGCGCGTGTGTGTGTAGAGGGCACTGGATTCCTTGGAACTGGAATTACAGGCAGCTTTAAGCCACTGAATGCAGATGTTGAAGACCAAATTCTGGTTCTCTGCAAGAGCAGCAAATGCTCTTAACCACTGAGCCATCTCCCCAGCCCCCATCTACCAGTTCTTAATTCTTCCTGCACACTCTTCCTCTGATCCCTGATCTGTTAACATAGATGATTCATCCACAGCTGAACACTCACAGTTACTTACACTTGGCACTTTGACCAGTTATGAGTCTTTGCATTAGCCACTACCCACTGTGCAAAGAGGCTTCTCTGACCAAAGTTAAGACCAACACAAATCTAAAGGGCTTAAACATAAATATTTAGAAGGCAGCCCAACAGCATGACTGTTTAACATAACAGCAGTAGGTTTAGCCCTAGTGCCATTGATTTTCCCAGTCATGAACCTTTTCTTTGCTCTGCCATGAACTGTTTATTTTATTTTGAAACAGGTCTCTAGCCAGGCTAGCCTTCAACTTGCTACGTAACCAAGGATAACCCTGAAATCCTTATTTTCCTGCCTCCACAGCCCAAGACTGCAGGTGTGCTCTACCATGCCTGGTTTCATGCAGTGCTGGGATGCAAACTCAGGGCTTCATGCATGCTAGGCAACCAGTCTACTAACAGATCTACATCTCAGGCTCCTATTTTTGGTGCTGGATCTGGTTCCTCATCTGCAGAATGAGGACCAATGTGTTGTTATGGGGTGTCTTAGTTGGTTACTATTTATTGTAATGAAACCCCATGACCAAAGCGACTTGGAGAAGAAAGGGTTTATTTGGCTTCCATTTCCACTTCACTGTTCATCCATGAACGGGGTTAGGACAGGAACTCAAACAGGGCAGGAACCTGGAGACAGGACCTGATGCAGAGGCCATGGGAGGGTGCTGCTTACTGGCTTGCTCAGCCTGCTTTCTTATAGAAAGGATGGCACTACCAACAATGGTTTGGCCCCTCCCCATCAATCATTAGTTCAGAAAATGCCCTAAAGCCACATCTTATGGAGGCATTTTCTCAATTGAAGTTTCCTCCTTTCAGATAACTATAGCTTGTGTCAAGTTGACATAAAACTAGGGTAAGAGTTGAGGGGCACAGACCCATGAAAAGCACTTAGTGCACAACGAGTGTGTTTGGTTCCCTTCTAGAACTTATCAGGCAAATCCCATCCATGTACCCATCCACCTGACCACCTGTCCACCCATCACCCACTCTGCCAGATGTTCCTGTACTCTGACTGTGCCAGGTAGCATGCCAGTTGGGGGGCTGTGTAAGACATAGAGCTCATAGGCCCCCAGGAGACCATGTACTGAGAGGAAGACCTCATGGCTCTCAAGTCCATGAATGCACCAGAAACCTGAAGTGGCAACTCTGATGAATGATTTTGAGAAATGCTAAGAAAAACCAGCCTGCCTCATGCTCTCAAGGTGGTGAGGGATAGCACCCAGGCAGAAACAAGGCAGCAGAGATCTTCCTTGTCCTACCCATGTACTTGGCCACTTGGAAGACCCACTTTTTTACATTGTTCTAGGAAGGGAAAGTTATATGCTGAGGGTCCCCAAGGCAAGACAATAGCTGGACATAGTACATGCTTTGGGCTGCCACCCACATATTGGCTCACTTGGCCCAGGACAGCAATGCCCAAGTTGGATGGTCAGAGAGCTGCTAGGCCAAGTCTCAGCCTCTCTGACTATGCAGTTCCACTCAGAGGCCCCAGGGCCTTGGAGGGTGGCAGAGCAGCAAGAAGAAGCCTGCAGCCAAGAGACAAGTGTCAGCTCTGAACAGACAGAGTGGGGCCAAGCTTATACTCAATAAAAAGGAGCTGGGTTGGAGACTGCTTCATCTGTGAGGTTCTTCAAGGACCAAGGAGAAAAGTGCCCTCCCTGTAAGTGTGGAAGAAGAGACCAGCAGCTCTGGCTGGCAAACTTATTTCAACACCAGGCCCGAGGAGGCCAAGCTTCTGGTGAGACTGTGTCACAAGCAGGCCCAGGGTCTGGGGCAGCTGCGGGAGGAGGGAGCAAACCCATGGTGTCCCCACTAACTAACTCTCTTCATGAATCCAATGCATATGGTAGTAAGTCACATGCTGTGACAATGTCTCAGTTCTCAGGCACTCAAACTTCCCTCAAAACCCCTATGGCAGGTCCGCTTCCCTTTTGGACAGTTTTCCTCAAGCCTCATGGAAAGATCCAATGGGCAAGGACACCAGGCTAATGGCAAAGGCAACGAGTTGATGTATGTGTGTGGTGGGGGTGGCTGCTAACAGATGAGGGCACCTTCATATCACCTATTTGCATAAGGTAAAAATATCTCCAGTGCAAGCAATCAGAGTCACCGAGGAGCTGATTAGCCTGTCTGCAGAGCTCTAAGAGGGACAGGCTGGGGACAGAGGCTCAGGAGGGGCCCTGGGCATGGAGGGGAGGGGAGCTGGCCTGTTTGCAGCAAAGAACTCCAGAGATCTGCAGAGGTCTGGCAGAAGAGCTGCTTCATCCCGCAGCCAGCTCAGGGGCTGCCAGGCAGGTCCCAAGGGAGCCTGGTGGCCCTCTTTTGCATAGTTAAAAGCCTTTAAGCCCCCAGGAAGCTGAGTCCTCATCTCTCTTTCAGCTGTGCTTTCCAGTCACTGCTGGAGTGAAGACGACAGACAGATGATACCCTTGGACAGGGACTGGTGACCAGAACTGCAGCCTCTCAGTATGAGGTGAAGCCTGCCTCTGGCAAACATGTGCTCAGGGTGGCTGAACACCAAGTGTCCACCAATCTGCCAAGTGGCAGCAGACACCACCTTGGGGCTTCTGGCCTTTGTGGTGTTGGGAGTAAGTGCTCCATCATGCCAGCACAGTAGTGGCTATGACAAGTTCTAGCCACACTGGTGGGAAGAAAGCACAGGCAGGGTGCACACCTGAGCCCCAGGTCACTAAGTTGCTTTGTCACTTTTGGACAAATGGTGGGAACAGTACTGAAGGTTCCAAAGTGAGAGAGGGCTCTGGTCAAGCCCTCACTGCTCTTAATGATGGTGTCTGTCCCCTGTATGGGGTGGCTCCTAATCCTCTTTGCCACCTAGACATCCATAGATGAGCACAGGTGGAGCTGTGCTTCTCTGATGAGGAAACTGAGGCAGAGAAATCAGTAGTGGACATAGTAAAGAAAGGCTCCTAACCCAGGGCTTGCTATCCTTCTCATGAGGGCCACGGTCCAATGACAGAGTAGGAGGGCTCTGAAGAGGCCACTGAGCCAGGAGACCTCTCCCATCTTTAGACTAGAGTGTATCAGTGGGGTATTCCCAAGCATTAGGGAGGTTGAGAACCTCTGACTGTCATGCCTATCCTAAGACTGCTTTGAACTTCAGCCTTTATCCTACAAGTATTTATTGATGTTGCAGGTGAGTGACTTGATCCCAGGCAAGAAGACAAGGGGCAGGTCATAGGGAAATTTCTGATCCTCAGGAGAGATGGTAAACATAACACTCAAGAGCTCACACCACTCCTGAAAGATAAATGTCTATCTATTCTCATTGTGCTGGGAGCAAGGTTCAGAGGCGTTGAGTTGCCTGCTCAGAGTCACACAGCTGATCTGTGATAGGCCTGGGTGCAGGAGGTTTCTGTAGGTGTTGCAGTTCTTTAGCCTAGTATGCTGGGCTCTGGCCCTTCTCAGGGACAGCACAGTACAGCTCTGGGGCAGGGCACCAGATCCTCCTCACACCCAATATCTCCAGCTGAGTCTGGGCACTGAGCCAGCTGCCCCACCCCCAAGGCCTGTTGAAGCAATATGGAGGGACACAAGCCTGTATGTAGGGAGGGCATGTCTGAAAAGGAGCCCCCAGATTCTAGGTCCATGCTATGTGTAGAACTATCAGAGGGGGCTGGGGCCAGAGCCATTGTCACCACAGCCTGCTCCTGGGGCTTACACCAGGGGATTGACCAGTAGCACAGCAGCCCCTCCCCCAGGACCCTTATCATGCCCCAGGTGATAAAGATGATCTCAAGGGTTCTGTTTTGACTCTCACTTCAATTCCCTCTGTAATCTGAGCAGCCCCAGGCTGTTTGCCCAACCAGGTACAAAGGGAAGCTTGTCAGGGTCATCAAA